TTTCCCGTCCTCTATACCAACCCAACTCTTGAATTTTTCAAATACTTGGTTTTTGCTTTTCAAAAAGTAAACAAAAGTGTATTTTGTGTGTCTATCACTTGAGAGGAGACAAGATAGCCATGTATAAATATGTGAGAGGAAGTCACAGGGAGGAGGGAGTAAGCTTGTTTTCTGCTTCCCTGGAGACTAGGACACAATACAATGGCTTCAAACTACAAGAAAGGAGATTCCATCTGAACATGAGGAAGAACTTCCTGACTGTGAGAGCCGTTCAGCAGTGGAACTCTCTGCCCGGAGTGTGGTGGAGGCTCCATTCGAATCATAGAATCATAGAATCATAGAGTTGGAAGAGACCTCATGGGCCGTCCAGTCCAACCCCCTGCCAAGAAGCAGGAATATTGCATTCAAGGCACCCTGACAGATGGCCATCCAGCCTCTGTTTAAAAGCTTCCAAAGAAGGAGCCTCCACCACACTCCGGGGCAGAGAGTTCCACTGCTGAACGGCTCTCACAGTCAGGAAGTTCTTCCTCATGTTCAGATGGAATCTCCTCTCTTGGAGTTTGAAGCCATTGTTTCTTGCGTCCTAGTCTCCAGGGAAGCAGAAAACAAGCTTGCTCCCTCCTCCTCCCTGTGGCTTCCTCTCACATATTTATACATGGCTATCATATCTCCTCTCAGCCTTCTCTTCTTCAGGCTAGACATGCCCAGCTCCTTAAGCCGCTCCTTGTTCTCCAGACCCTTGATCATTTTAGTCGCCCTCCTCTGGACACATTCCAGCTTGTCAATATCTCTCTTGAATTGTGGTGCCCAGAATTGGACACAATATTCCAGATGTGGTCTAACCAAAGCAGAATAGATGGGTAGCATTACTTCCTTAGATCTAGACACTATGCTCCTATTGATGCAGGCCAAAATCCCATTGGCTTTTTTTGCCGCCACATCACATTCCTGGCTCATGTTTAACTTGTTGTCCACGAGGACTCCAAGATCTTTTTCACACGTCCTGCTCTCGAGCCAGGCATTGTCCCCATTCTGTATCTTTGCATTTCGTTTTTTCTGCCTAAGAGGAAAAAGCAGGATATAGCTTGTTGTTGATGATGTTGTTGTTGTTGCTGCTGCTGTTGTTGTTATTTTAATAGCTCAAACTCTGAAAGGAACTCTCAGTGAACTCTGACAGGAACATTCTGATTTCTGAATAAGACTTGAACTGCAAAAAGAGTCTTTGCAAATTGCATTTCCCCAGAAAATGGCTCAAAGTACTCGTTGCTTCTTTTGAGAATGAAATTGGGCAGAAGTTATATCTCCGGCATTCTCTCTGTCAGTTGCAGGCCCTTTGGATAAATGCTGGGCTGTTAATGTTTCCTTTGTTTATACGCTTTTTACGGCTGGGTTTATTACGGAGCTGGAATCGCAGCTCCGTACTTTAACGCGCCTTGGCTTTTTAGCATCCTGCCTCGACGTATAAGGGCTGAGAAATCACCAGCGAGGGGCATTAATCTGGTAATATTTTGGAAAACGCCAATGAATCACGGCAGCATCCGTCGCCACGGCTTCATTTTATATATATTTTATATTCTCTTATTTTATTTGCTTTGGTGAGTAATGGCCCCTGTTTGCGATCAGTCATCAGCATAATAAAATGTTGCTTCTCAAGCCATGGAAAGGATGTATTCGTTTTTTCACAACTCCTCCAAAAGTATATATTTGGTGACAAATAAAGGCAAAGAGCAACCCATGGCCTGCGTGTGGCCCCAGGGCCATTGTATGGCTCCACAGACAGTGCTAGAAGTTCATCCTCCAGCGTATATACAATTCCTGGGTTGCTGTAAGTTTCCTGGGCTGTGTGGCCATGTTCCAGCAGCACTCTCCCCTGACATTTCATCTGTATCCATGGCTAATGACATCTTCAGAGGTCTGTTGGAAGTGAGGCAAGTGGAGTGTATATATTGTAGAATAATGTCCAGGGTGGCAGAAAGAACCCTTGTGTGCTTGAAGCAAGTGTGAAAGTTGCAATTAGCAAGCCATGAAGCTGCAAAGTCAATCAGTGAGGGCATTTATTTATTTATTTATTTATTTATTTCAGTTACTTCTACCCCGCCCTTCTCACCCCGAAGGGGACTCAGGGCGGCTTACAAAAGCAAGGCACAATTCGATGCCCGCATCACATAACAGCAATAAAACAAAATAACATCAATTAACAATTAACAACAATTCTTGCATTACAGCCATAAAACCAATAAAACCAATACAAACCAATTTCTCCTCATTGACGGTCAGCGTTCGCTATCTCATAGTTCAAATTCCAATTCCACAATTGTCAGTCCTGTCAGTCCTATTTGTCTGATTGTCCTTATCTAGTTGTCAGATTTAGCAGCAATTAACAATTAAACAACATTACAACAATAAAACCAATAAAACCAATACAAACCCAATTACTCCTCATTGACGGTCAGCGTTCGCTATCTCATAGTCCAAATTCCAATTCCACATTGTCAGTCCTGTCAGTCCTATTCGTCTGGTTGTCCTTATCTAGTTGTCAGATTGCCCAAAGGCCTGGTCCCACAACCACGTCTTTACCTTCCTCCTGAAGGAGAGGAGGGATGTTAATGCCCTAATTTCCCCCAGGAGAGGGGCCACCACTGAGAAGGCCCTGCTCCTCGTCCCCACCAACCTCACTTGTGATAGCGGTGGGGTCGAGAGCAGGGCCTCCCCAGATGATCTCAAATTCCGGGGTGGGACGTAGAGGGAGATGCGTTCGGACAGATACACTGGACCGGAACCGTACAGGACTTTGTAGGTCAAAACCAGCACCTTGAATTGTGCTCAGAATTGAACCGGCAGCCAGTGGAGCTGACACAGCAGGGGGGTGGTGTGCTCCCTGTATGACGCAATCTGGCTGCCACTTGCTGGACCAGTTGAAGTTTCCGAACAGTCTTCAAGGGCAACCCCACGTAGAGTGTGTTGCAGTAGTCTATTCAGGATGTAACAAGAGCGTGGACCACTGTGGCCAGATCAGACTTCCCAAGGTACGGACGCAGCTGGCGCACAAGTTTTAATTGTGCAAAAGCTCCCCTGACTACCGCTGAAACCTGGGGTTCCAGGCTCAGCGATGAGTCCAGGATCACTCCCAGGCTGCGAACCTGCGTCTTCAGGGGGAGTGTAACCCCGTCCAGCAGAGCAGTCAGCTATAGCAGAGCAGTCAGCTATAGCCAGTAGACCAGTGTTTCTCAACCTGGGGGTCGGGACCCCTGTGGGGGTCATGAGGGGGTGTCAGAGAGGTCACCAAAGACCATCAGACAATGTATTTTCTCTATGTCATGGGTGTTCTGTGTGGGAAGTTTGGTTCAATTTTATCATTGGCAGGGTTCAGAATGCTATTTCATTGTGGGTGAACTATGAATCCCAACAACTACAACTCCCAAATGGCAAAGTCTATTTTCTCCAAACTCTACCAGTGTTCACATTTGGGCATATTGATTATCTGTGCCAAGTTTGATCCAGATCCATCACTGTTTGAGTCCACAGTGTTCTCTGGATGTAGGTGAACTACAACTCCAAAAACTCAAGGTCAGTGTCCACCAGACTCTCCCAGTATTTCTCTTGGCCATGGGAATTCTCTGTGCCAAGTTTGATTCAATTCCACCATTGGTGGAGTTCAAAAGGCTCTTTGATTTTAGGTGAACTATAAATCCCAGCAACTCCAACATTCCCAAATGACAAAATCAATCCCCTCCAACCCCACCAGTATTCAAATTTGGGTGTATTGGGTATTTGTGCCAAATTTGGTCCAGTGAATGAAAATATATCCTGCATTTTTTTATTTGTCGTGTCAGAGCAACCTGTCCATTATATTACGTTTCTAACAGAACAAAGCAAACAAACAGACAAATACAAAACTTGTGAGTTTGGTAGTTGATTAAATGCCCTTTGACCAGTATCTGGCCCCTTGGAGTGCCTCTGGTGTTGCCGCAAGAAGGTCCTCCCTTGTGCATGTGGCAGGGCTCAGGTTGCATTGCAGCAGGTGGTCAGTGGTTTGCTCTTCTCCACACTCGCATGTCGTGGATTCCACTTTGTGGCCCCATTTCTGAAGGTTGGCTCTGCATCTTGTGGTGCTAGAGCACAGTCTGTTCAGCGCCTTCCAAGTCGCCCAGTCCTCTGTGTGCCCAGGGGGAGTCTCTCATTTGGTATCAGCCATTGGTTGAGGTGCTGGGTTTGAGCCTGCCACTTTTGGACTCTCGCTTGCTGAGGTGTTCCAGCGAGTGTCTCTGTAGATCTTAGAAAACTATTTCTAGATTTAAGTCGTTGACGTGCTGGCTGATACCCAAACAGGGGATGAGCTGGAGATGTCTCTGCCTTGGTCTTTTCACTATTGGCTGCTACTTCCCGGCGGATGTCAGGTGGTGTGATACTGGCTAAGCAGTGTAATTTCTCCAGTGGTATAGGGCATATCATAATATAAATACAATGGATTTAACGTCAAGCCAATCATAATATAAATATCCTGCATATCAGATATTTATATTACGATTCATAACAGTCGCAAAATTAAAGAAGTAGCAACAAAAATAATGTTATGGTTGGGGGTCACCACAATGTGAGGACCTTTACTAAGGGGTCGCGGCATCAGGAAGGTTGAGAACCACTGCAGTAGACTGTTAGAAACTGTGGGAGTTGAAGTCCAAAACACTTGGAGGGCCCAAGTTTGCACGTGTCTGGATTAGTCCATTGCTAATTGTCAGGATGGCTCTGTAGTTCCTCAGAGGACCAGGTGAAGGGGATTCTGGGCAGGAAAGTTCTGTTGCCTGGTGTCCTGCTCATGGGCTTTCCAACTGGACTTGTGCCCATGGTTTCCATGGCTCCAGGTTGTCTGAAGGACCACCGAGCTGTTCCTCTTGTAGCCTAATGACTCTCATTTCCTGGGACTCCAACGTACTGACCATCCCATGTCTGCCTCTCTTCCTCCTTCCCTCTCCCCTTTCCCCCTTTGCCCCCATTTGAAGTTCCACCCAACCTGACTGTCCCGCAAGAGAAGTCCCCCTTGGTCACCCGGGAAGGAGACACGGTCGAGCTGCAGTGCCAGGTGACAGGGAAACCCAAGCCCATCATCCTCTGGTCCAGGGCCGACAAGGAGGTCCCCATGCCCGATGGGTCCATGCAGATGGAGAGCTACGACGGGATCCTCAGGATCGTCAACGTCTCGCGGGAGATGACCGGGACCTACCGGTGCCAGACCAGCCAGTACAATGGATTTAACGTCAAGCCAAGAGAGGCCCTGGTCCAGCTCATCGTGCAATGTAAGTCCAGGTTTTCTCTTTCCCTTCTTGTAGCATTGCATCCAAACCACTATCTGGGCCATATTTCCCATCTGGGACGTTCTGTGGTCTTCAGAAAGCTTTGAGATGTTTCTGATGGGTGTGGGTACCATACTTTTATAGGATGGATCCAGAAAGAGGCTTGCATATGCCATCTTGGACCAATGAGTTGAGACTGCATTCTAGACAATATTAGATAAGTGGGACATTCTGTGGTCTTCAGAAAGCTTTGAGATGTTTCTGATGGGATGCGGGTACCATACTTTTATAGGATGGATCCAGGAAGAGGCTTGCAGATGGCATCTTGGAGCAATGAGTTGAGACTGCATTCTAGACAATATTAAATTCGTGGGACATTCTGTGGTCTTCAGAAAGCTTTGAGATGTTTCTGATGGGATGTGGGTACCATACTTTTATAGGATGGATCCAGAAAGAAGCTTGCAGATGCCATCTTGGAGCAATGAGTTGAGACTGCATTCTAGACAATATTAAATACGTGGGACATTCTGTGGTCTGCAGAAAGCTTTGAGATGTTCTGGTGGGATGTGGGTACGATAATTTGATAGGACAGATCCAGAAAGATGCTTGCAGATGCCATCTTGTAGCAATGAGTTGAAACCTCTTTCTGGACATTTGTGGAGAGGTGGGTGCCAAGCTAGCGGAAATGGTCAACATTTTCTAATGTGACACCATTGAGCTGTAATTCTGGCATTGGAGAGGGCTTGGCCGGTGACTGTTGGAAGAGCACTTTGGTTTTCTCGATGTTCAATGACAGGCCGAGCTTCGTGTATGCTTCTGCGAAGGTGTTTAGAGTGGCTTGTAGGTTTTCTTCTGAATGAGCACAAGACGACGTTGTCATCAGCATACTGGAGTTCTATAACAGATGTTGTTGTAACCTTGGTTTTGGCAAGGTTAAATAGCTTGCCATCTGTCCAATAGATGATTTCCACTCTGGTGGGAAGCTTCCCATCAACAAGGTGAAGTATCATAGCGATAAAGATGGAGAATAAAGTTGGGGCAATAACACATCCCTGTTTGACACCTGATTCCACCTTAAATGGGTCACTTTGGGAGCCACTGCTGTCCAGGAATGTTGCCATCATGTCATCATGGAGG